CCTCATTTTTTTATTGGAAGTCTTTGTCTTTAAGTTCATTTTGGGGTTTGAAATCTTTTTTTTATGAAAATGCTTATTTTGAAATATACTTATTATTCAAAAAATTATTCTTTCACTTATTTTTTTCTTCAAATTCTTGTTCATAGTGATATATTATTTAGATTTTTGGGAGAGAAAGGAGTGGAGGGGGGGGGGTGTTGGAAAAGGTGAAAACTTTTATTAGCTTAAAATGATATTCACAAGAACCGGCAATTTTCCAAAGGTGGTTCCAGGGTTTACATGACAGGATTTTCACTGGATGCAAACCCCCTTCAAAAATCTTTGCCTACCCCCCTAAAAAATTTTTACCACCTTCGGCGGCGGTGTCTTTCTATTATTATTATTTTTACCTTTTTAATTTATTTATACTCTTTTCAGAGAGGTTATAAAGGATAACTTAAATTAATCTTTCTCTACTACCAACTATCCATATTTTGTGAATGTAAAGAATTTATTTTTTAGATAATAAATTCAATTAAAACCTCCATTATTTACAATGAATTAATTATTATGGCATTATGAGCTTGCTGAAATGATAGTAGAAAGTTTTATTTGGAAAACAATATGTATGATTGTTTGCAATATATAGATTTGGTCGATGAATTGTATTATAATCATTCTATTATAAAATAATTTATTTTTACAGCAATAAATTATGTCCTATTTCATCTCAAAATTTAATAGATAACCCCCCAAAAAATTAATCTTACCACCATTAAAGCAGCCTACCCCTTACCCCCATTAAAGCAGCCAACCCCCCTCCCCCCCACCCAATAAATAGGGTGCAAACTGTTCCTACCCCTCCCGCTCATGTAGACGCTGGGTGGTTCAAACCCTAACCCCCATCTACGCCTATGTGAATCTGCATATATTTTTAGAAGTATCTTTTGACAACTGTAAAGTGACGTCAATGAGAGTAATGTTGTTACTAATGGTGTTATCTCTTTTAAGGAAAAAGAACGCTATTCGTTACTTGTTGTAATAAAAAGAGTAGTGCTTTTTTTCTTAAAAAATATAATAATTTAAGCCAAGTTTTTAATTCAGATCAACCATCAAGGTTCTTCATTTTTATTTTATTTGTTACATTTTTGTTGTAGAATTCTTTTTTAGTATTATTCTTTTTTTATAATCAATCTTTATTGTAATAAATATATATTTTTATATTTATGCCAAAATTCTATATATAAAAATATATTATATATCAATATAAGGTATAATAATTTAAATTTTCATTATAATAAATTTTAATATATTTAAAAATGTTTGAAAAATATATAATAATACTATTAAAAAAATAAGAAGCTATAAAAATTAAAATAATAATATATTTAAAAGAATATATATGTAATTAATTAAAAATATCGAATAATTAGGTTCCCAGAATGAGCCGTAGCTATATCGGACTATTACAAATTAGATTTTTTACCGGATAAAAGGAATTTTCTATAGCCTCGTTATGTCTGATTGTGAGTTCCTAAGATTTTTAAAATATAAAAGTTTTATGTAAAAAGGGACCCGTTTGTGGAGATGGCTATTGAGGTAAATATATAATTATTGATATCTTTGTATTTTTTAATCTTTTTTGATTTGGCTTGGGTTAATAAATATATGCTTGTGTTAGAAGGAAACGGATGCGACACAATTAAAATCTCATATTAAAGATTCACTTGGGGATCAGGGAATTGTAGTCATTCCGTCAGGTTACGTCTGCGGGGATAGGTTGGTAGGCTCAAGATGGTTATAACGTAAGGGGCTGTCAAACCTTTATTAATTGATTTATTGAAGTGTGGCGTTGATGTATCCCTTAACTATATAAACAATTTAGGTCGTGTCTGCCTTTTGAATCTTTACATTTGACACAAGTGTGAGGCTGACGATGTCACACTGTAGACGTAAGTCAATAGCAACTCTTAGTTGTTCTACTGATAAGAGATTACCAAGGCTAAGACTAGTGAGTGCTTCTAACCATTCATGACCACCAAATTTGTCTTTTGATTGGAGAAGTGGGATAAAGTTTCAAGTAAATGGACTGATATGGTTGATTGGAAATTAAGTATTAAGAGTGTTTAAAGGTTTTTATAGGTGATGATTGCCGGAAAGTATGTATTTTGGGTGTGTTGGCTTCACATCCATTTGTTGCATCATCCAATAAATAGTCTGTGTTGGATATGAAGCCCGAGAACATAAAATTGTTCATAAATTTTAATGATATAAGTATTATAAAGCTAGAAGCTTAAGTGGGCGAAGTCTAAACCACCAGCAGGTTTGACCAGTTGAATAGTGATAAATCAATATTATAGATTTTCCCAGGAATACTTTGAATTTGTTCTGAATTTTATTCATGAAATTGTTATTTGCAAAGAAGGATGAAGAGCATAATATAAATAAAAATTAGGGAATGTAAAAACATTTGCTATTAAGAATAAACACTGATGAGCGGGTAAAAGGAAGATTGAATAGTTAAGATTGTTAATATAATCAATATTGAATCAATCAAGATATATAAATATTTATTGTTTATTATTTATTTATTAAGAATATCACTGGTATTTATTCCCTCCTATGATTTAACTCTGCCCTGATCCCAGTACAAAATATTTTTTAAACAAATAATAAAATTATGGGCCCTAAGTCTACTTGTAAATGTAGATTGTGCCCTATTTAAATATTTCAATCTTCAATGTTCAGTGGCTTAAATCTAAGAAAAACTTATGAAGAAAAAATATGAATTCTGATTAAATTCTGACAAATAATAAAAAAAATTGAGAGGAATTGAATGATTTTTGTGATGATTTAATAAGGTTTTTGAAAAATAAGATCATTCTTTATATATTATTTTAATTCCCCCAATTAAAATTTTATTTATCAACCCCCCTCCCCCCCCCCCCCCTTATCCTCCGCTTCAGTTTAAAATGTGTTTAGCACAGGAAAGTGGTGTTAAGCATTAAGCGCTTTGTTTATATCTGAAATTTTAAAATTAATAATTTTTAAAAATAAATTAAAAAAATATTGCAAAAAGAATTTTTTTTATTCTTTTTTTTATCACAAGAAATAATAAACGATCATTGCTTCATCCCAATCATATCAACCACTCTTGGCACCTTCGGCAAACTCGCCTTAGCATTTTTCAAAAAATTAGGATCACAAATCAGCAAACTCTCAGAAGAACCCCGAGAGGGTTTTTTTCTTCGTCAACGATTATCCATAGCGATTCACAAAGCTAATTATATCAGTTTCTATGGTAGCCTTCTAGCCAAAGAGCTATCATAGACAACGCTTACGTCCTTTTTCATTTTTGTTTCCCTGCATCACACCATCTCCGTTCTTTTTTTTAATAGTATTATTATATATTTTTCAAACATTTTTAAATATATTAAATTTATTATAACGATAAAAAATATTAAAAGAAAAGAAATAAATAAACTAAAAATAAAAAAAAAAAGAAAAAAAAAAGAAGAAGTTATGACTCTTTTCTCCTAACATAATATAATATTTTTACCATCTATGTGGGAAAAAAATAAATATATATATACAATAGTTATTATTTTTTTAAATAGTGAGTGCGTTACATTTTTTGAATATCTGTATCACGTTCCTTATTTCAGAAGTTAACTAGTAACGATGGGCATTCCTTTTTTTTCTAACGTAACGAGTTTCTTTTTTAAAGTAATGTTACTGATTCATATTTACTTAAAAAATAGGGCTATATACATATTAAGTGATTCAATGCCGATTTTTAAAAACGGCTAACTCAATATTTCTTCCAGAATAATATTACGCAAGCCTGAAGATTTTGCTCATAAAAGGAACAAAGGTCTAGATATATATTATAGAAATCTCGAGGCTTTAACAATGATATATATATATAATTGGGCTTAAACAATATTTTTCTGGCTAAAATATTGAGTTAGCCGTTTTAAAAAATCGGCTCAAAACGAGCCGTTTAACAACACTAGTAAACACACATTAATAAACTTTCCAAAATTATTTCAAATTTTAGCATGTCTTCGTATTACGACATGTATTAATGAAAACTTACTTGAATTTATGAAAGCTATAAAACATATTTGCAAAATACTATTTCAAAAAATAGATTAAATAGCTTAGCAGTTAATTCTGAAATAATTAATCATCAAATTCTAAAAGAAAATTAGATCTAACATTATAAATTATGACCGCGTTTTTGTAATGTAATTTATTATATTCTATATAAACTAATAAAAATATATTTCCTATTTGTTCCAGACTTTTTTTTTCATATAATCTCTTAACCAATTTCGTATATTTTAAATAAGGATGATATTTTTTTAAATTAAAATTAACCTCCTATCTTGTAAAAACATTTTATAGTTATTTAGGGACTAAGGGAATCAAGAAGGCCCACCCAAAAAATGGTCTGAGGGCATAGCCCCCATACATTAATTCTCCCCCTTTAGAAAATCATGGTTACGCCTATGAAGTGATTCTATTATTCTAGGTTACCAGAGTTAGGGTTTGAGAAATTGAGCTTTCGAAGAACTATAAATATATAGTTAATAAATATATGTATGATAGTTTTAATTAGAATAACGTTTAAAATATATTTCCTAGAATGTATGTATGATGTCTTATTATAAAATATTTAACTTAAAAGGATTTTTAATGTTCTAAACACAAATATATACATTTAAATTTTTATAATTTAAATCGTTATAAAGTTATAATTAAATTGATACTTTTAAATTCAACATAATCATTAAAATAATAAAAATATTATCTATAATACTGACAATCTATTTTATATCTTAATGATAATAATTTTTAGTAATTTTTTGGTCTAAGCCTAACTGCAAAAGTGATAAACATTTAAAGTTTTTAGTATTCCTCTAAAAAAGTGTTGTTAAATTTTGTGTCATCTGATCGATATAAGAGAAAGTTCTCTCCTCTATATAGAACTTTAAACTTAATGCTATATTTATATTAAATTAATTGGATAAATCAAATTGTTTATATTTAATTGATTAATGACTCATTTTAAAGAGTATTTTTAAAGTTGTTATCTGTAATATACGAATTGTAATGCATGGAAACATAATTAATAAATGGACAATATACATTATAATCTTAGAAATCGGGCTATCTATCAAACTAGATTTAATGAAGCAAAAGTATATCATATTTTCCTATTTAATTTTATTAAATTTATTTTTAAGAACAAACATTTGTCTGCATTGAGTATAAATAATCAAAATCGTAAATATAAAAATGCTATTAACTATCAAATCAATTCTATACCTCAAAAAACTGATAAAATTTTAAAAAATCATACTATTTCAACTTGTCCAAATCTAAAGAGAAAGGCCACTACAAAGAACCTTATTAATAACAAGAAACAAAAGAAAACTGAGAGTAAAATATATAATTCTAATCACCATATTAACACTAAAGAAAAATATACAAATACGGGACTCTGTAAAAGTAGCCTGTAAGTTTTATCTTTTGCTATGCTATATTTTGTTTATTAAATTTATTTTATAAGATTGAAGTATATTTTTTATATAATACAACTATGCCCATTATAACCTATTATGTAATGTATACATTATTAATATACAATATTATAACCTTTAGTTGGGGCTTAAGGAGCCTCAAGACTCAACAAAATTCTGCATCTGAACAACAATCTACCTCACAATCAGGTCAATCAACCTTGAATGGCAAGAATAATTTTATTAGTAATATCAACAAAAAGAATAAAAAACTTCTACCAGCAGAGGCCATTAAAATAAAAAACAACTCATTTCTGCACAAAAAAGTAAATTTTAAACTAGCAAAACACCTTAATAAAGTGGACCTTAAATCACAAGTCAGGCTCACAAAATCAAGTACTATTTCCAAAGAAGTTGACCAAATCAATAAAATTACTACATTACAATCATCAGTTTCTAGCAACAAAAAACCTCCACTGGCTGACAAGCTCAAAACAGTCTTTAAAATTGATACCAAAGAAAGTATAGCCCAAAATCAACCCTCTCACTCAAACCCTAATCCTATAATATCCAGAGATGATATTAGACAAAATACAGTCAAGGATGGCAGAAACCACAATAAAAGGAAACGTTTTAATCCTCCTCATACTACAAATAATAATAGTATCTGCAAAATAAGCAAGATATCTGATACGATAACCAAAATGGCCATGCCTTATGATAAATCTACCTCCAAAAAAACAAGTTTATCCTCAAAAAAAGATGACCATGGAACCATTTTAGATGTAACAGACACTGATAAATCGATTGCTACAGAAAAGTGTACCAAAAAAAGCAGCGATAAAATTGGTTACACAAAAGAGGATAAAGAAGAAAAAGGTTCAGAGAAGGAGGATAACTTTTGTTGCAAAGTAGAACATGTTAGTGATATGGAGGTGAGTTCATCCAACACCTGTAGCTTTAAGTCTCTCTCTAATCACTCCCTTTTGGACAAACATATCAGTGAGATAGATGAAATCATAAATGTAAGAAGTGTGGATCACAATCACTACCACAAAAGTAATTCAAATAAGATGGGATCAGTTAAAAAGATGGAAATGAAACAACCTGGAACATCATCTTCAGGTTTCATGATAAATATATTTATAAATTTATATCATTTGATTATTGATCTTTATTTTGGTCAGGATTTGTTAAAATAATATTCTTGTCTCATTACTATGGAATATTTGAGATATAGAACTATCATCTTTTAGAAAATTCAAAAAAAATTGGCAAATAATCATACACATGAAAATATATACCTTATTTACCACTGATCCTCAAAGGGTTTACTTTTTTTGTACAAATTAAAAATCAGCTCAGCCCAAAGCACAGTGGCCTGTCATCAATTAAAATTTTTGTGACCCACCCAGTTAGTGTTGTTAAACTGCTCGTTTTGAGCCGATTTTTAAAAACGGCTAACTCAATATTTCATCTAGAAAAATATTATGCAAGCCTGAAGATTTTGCTTATAGAAGGAACAAAGGTCTAGGACATATATCATCGAAATCTTGAGGCTTATGTAATATTATTCTGGCTACAATATTGAGTTAGCCGTTTTAAAAAATCGGCTCAAAAACTTATAGTCCGGTCCGATTTTTTAATAATTTCTGGCACTAGTTCCGACCCGAAAAAATATCTTTCACAAATTTCTCGACCCTAGGTCTAAGCTTACGGGGCCTTGCATGTCTGATAAAATGTTGTACAGCTCTAATTAAAAGGGTAAATATTGTTGAATGTTCCATTTCAAATCTAATTTTTTAAATGTATATGAAAACGGGTGTATACCTTTCGTGGGGTTTATACAGTGTTGTGATGATTTAATGAAACATATTGAGGATTAAATAAAACCCATCCATATAAAAATATTTTGTTATAATTAAAATATAGACAAAGCATTATTGAAAATTCTTTTATTCCTCCTTTTGTTATTTTAATTATTTTGCAAACAAAATATTTTTATATTATGGATGGGTTTTAATTTAATCATCAACATTCATTAAATCATCACAACACTGTATATTATTGAACACAGTATCCGCTGAGGAGGTGAATAATAAGAAAAGTTGGGAATATTAGATTTCTATAAAATTCATTTTTTTAAAATAATGATTCATAATATCAAGAATTACTTACCTTTTAAATTCATTTGCCTTCCTTTTTTATCACATAAAGAACATTGAGAATATTCATCGGTAGTCAGGGACTTCTACCACGGCGTATGGATATGACCTATGATGTAATCATTAATGAAATGGGAGACAGGGGGGGGCAGATAGCTACAAAGGCGCTAACGTCATTTGAATAAAATTGGGGAGGGGGATAGTTTTGATTTGAATTTATTTTTTGCTAATTTTAATTGAGGATGATATAATTTAGAGGGAGGTAGGAGGTAAAATTTTTGCGGGAGGTAATCTTGTCATTAGTTTAGGTACTTATAGAGGTCCCTGACACCAGTTAACTTTTAGTTTGCATTTGTATTATATATATATATGTATGAGTTTGATCATTAAAGTGATTGATGCCTGATGGAATTCTATTATTCCTGTTTATACCAGGCCTTTTAACATATCGATTTGCGATTTTTAAATCAAATTGTTAGACATATCATTTTGAAAATGCTCCTTATAAATATGCACTTTATTTTTTTTATTACATATTGATCAATAATCTCAACTGAATTTCATCTACGAATAGATTTTTAAAAAAATCCAAAATTAATTCCTCAATGATTGTCACATTATGCAAAACATGACATAGCTAGCATTTTCAAGTTGGAGGAGTCCGCACTCTCCCAAACTACACCGCTGGTTCCTTCCCTTACTGGGCCCCTTATGATGTTTTATCAAATGCAAGAAATGCATTTTAAAATTAAAAAAAATATTTTGATTAGTTTTCAATTAAAAAAATAATAATTTCGCAAAAAAAATATATTTCATTTCTTTTTTTTGCAGCTGGATGCGATATTGATTTTAATTCAACTCCCCCCCCCCCCTCCTCCTCCCTCCCACATGGAAATGAAAGTTTGGGCGTTTGTCATTTTGAAAACTTTTCAAAATATCTCCTTTTCTCAATCTTCTGTCGAGGTCTAAAATCGACGTCATTTTTGACTGACTTTTAACTTTCATAATAAATAAAAGTTGACAATTTTATATATTTTTAATTGTATTAGTAATGATAATTGTTAATCCTTGACTGAATTTTTCATTCGCGCATAACCATAATTATTAAATTTTATATGTGACCAAGAAGGTAGAGTAGTTTTTCTTATTATTATTTTTGATATATCAGTAAAAGCGCTTTAATTTTTTTTTAATGAAATGGTACATTAAATTGATTTAATGATCCGAGTACTATATAAACAATGGGCGCAGCCATTTGACGGTTATAATCGCTCTTGTTTTTTCCTGATGCTTCACCCCGAATTCACAGTTAGCACGAGTTCGCGGCTAAGTATACAAAAATATTTTTTTATATCTCGCCGCGAATTCGCGCATATTTTATACACTTTGTCGCGAATTCGTGCTAACTGTGAATGCAGAGTTATACGAGTACCCTCTAGAGATCCCTCCCCCTACAGGAGCTAATGCCACTTGAGCCTCCCTCCATGACTAAAATATAAAATAATTCAAATATAAAATGAATACTGTCTTGGCTATGTTTGTTAACTAAGAAGTCTACCTGCGATATTAATATTTAATTTGTACCTCCCCGCCTTCCGATATAGAGGGTCCTGCTTTGTACTCATGTTGATTCTATTTCTCGCCTACATACTTATATTTATTAAGACCAATTTTTTGCCGGAAATTTAATATAGGCGTATTTATTTATTTCTTTCTATTTATATCTTCTTCTTTTTTTATTAATCTTTCTTTTTAAGAAAATTTTTACTTTTCTTTATTCGCTTTATTTTCTATTTATTTTTCATATATATATAATTTTTTATTAAAATAGGTCAACTTCCTGATAAGTACAAACCTTCCAGGTATTCATCTGACAGCGAGGATTTCGAAGATAACGTGCACGATATAGGAAAATTGCACAGTTACTAATATATAATTTTTGTTTGTTTCTTTCTTTCTTAGCAAGGGATGGAAGGTGGAAGGGAAAGGTGGAAGGGAAAGGAATAATTAATGAATGAATGAAGGGTTACAAAAAGTAAGGGGGAACAAACATCATAATTCGGAAAATTTAAAATGTCTTTATAATTCCTTAAGACTTGTTGGAAACGAAAGGCTTGTCCACTCATCACTTGCTGAACGCTCTAGGGCCCAGGATGCAACAACTTATACAAAAAACACTCGGCACTACTTCCACCAGTCGTAAAAATTCATAGAAATACATTATTTTTTTATAAACACCTTTAGATATAGTTTAAGCTATTTATTACAGTATTTTTTGACTATATGAAGTTGCGGATTCCAAAATAATGATGATATTAATCATTCCCACAAATAAGTCAGTTAACATTCGCCATGAAAAACACATGAATTAGTCTCGTGTTTTTACAATTCAACCTCATCTGAGTCTGATTATTCTTTATTTTAGAAATGTATTTTTCAGGAATGAAGAAAATGGACATTCGATTGACTTCATAATGTGCGTGATATAACACCATTTAACAACGAGTTTATTTATGGAATCTTTTAATGTGATCTATTTATTTTTTATTATTATTAATTCTTAAATTTTATATAATTATTGGAATTATAAATAAAATTTATTTTAATAATGAAGATTTATTAATAAATTAATCACGTACATCTCGCATTTAATACAATCTTATTAGGCTTTGTTTAAATTAAACCGAATCGCGATTACTTCTCCAGCTGTAAATTCAACGCGAACTGCAAAATAAATGTCTGCTGATTTCGTATTCTAAAATTTGTTTTAATGCACGCATTAAATGTCAGAAATTTTTGTTATAAAGTGTGTATATATATAAATGTGCATTCGCTAATCTATTATATATCTTGATTGATAATGATAGTAATATGGAAATTCAATATATGGTGAATTCCATATCAAATCAACCAAGGTTTCAACCCCACCCCCTTCAATTTTTCTTAAATTTTGTATACTGGTAGTATATACTATAACTAAGAAAAAAATGAAATTTTACCTTCCAACACTGTTTACCCGCTAAGATATGGCCGTTTAAAGCGCGGAAAAATGGCACATTTTTGACAAAATGCATCTCATTTATTTTCAAATATCTCAAGAAATAATTAAGTTAGAAAAATAATTTAAATTTTATTTTGTAGCTTAATAAAAGTTCTTTAAAATGACATAAAAATAAATATGGACATTTTATTAATATCGAAAACCGGATGTGTAAAACCGGAAATGGCCATAGATTTATTTTTTTTCTGTAGATAGATATCACACTACTTTATATTTGTACAAAATCCTAGACTGGGATGAACATGGGTTTAGGAGTTATCACATGGCTAACATTGAATAAATTTAACATTAATATCATCATATTTTAATTTAATGAATAGTTATGAAATAATGATAATAAAATTATGTCTAAATGACAGGCCCTTACTTTTTTTTTATCTTTATCAAAATTTTTGAGAAGTGGCTGGAATAATGAGCTTTGTTTAACACTTTAGTTAAATTTTGTCTCGAAGTTACTTGACAAAATAATTATAAACATAATATAACTTTATTTGCCTCAAATTGCATTACATATAATACAATCAAAAATTTATAATTAAAATATATCATATATTATAATCATCCAAGGAATTTTAATAAATTATGACTTTTGTTTTTTCTAGGGCAATAAAAGCTTGAAACTTTGTGTTCCAGAAATTCTCGCTCTCAAAAATCTGCTTTCAAGATGACTTTCTATGTTCATACATTCATTATTGCTCACAAATATATAATTTACCCCATAGATATTATTTCTTGCATAGTTAAATAAATCTATTGTTGTCAATATGTGATGTTCATATGGACGTTGCAAGTTTGCTCAAACTGCTAACCGTTTAGTAACGGCCCCCATAATGTCGCATGGATTTTACCTTACGGTTTCAAAAAATGTCACTCAGCCTTTATCCCAAAATCATTTTCATGATTGTAGAGATTAATGAAATCTTTTATTTTTATATTGATTACTGCTCCATCAGAAAAATAAAAAATTTTAGCCACTCTTATTAAATCTTTCCTTCAAGAATACGATCAATTTTTAAAATAAATAAAATGCACATGCGTTGTGCTTTAAACAATTTGATATAACTACTAAATTTACATGTTTTATTATATCGTTCTCACGGTAATAAATTATAAAAGAGTTGATAGTGGCTTGATTATTGGTCTGATTAAATCCTTATGCATGGTTCTGCATTACAAATGCATAGTTTTCTGAAAAATCTGCAATAATTAAGAATTCGCCAACATTTAATTTGAATTTTAAAAAGTTTCGAATTAATGATTATCGTGAAGCTATAAACAAATGAGGTATTAAACTGTTTAATTATTCAATTAAATAATCTATAATTTCGTCAGCGGATTTTGTCAGTGTTTCGAGGGTAGTTCGATCAATTGCTATCCATTGTTTGAATGTTTTATCTATAGAATTATCGTCAAAAATATATTAAGCCTTTCTTTTAATTTTGAATATATGGGGGAAAATTTATTGTTGAATTTCAATTTTGGTAGATTATTTTATGCTAAATAAAATATTTAAAATTATTTTGTCAAGTAATTTTAATTTCGAGATAAAATTTAACTAAAGTTTTAAACAGCTCATTATCTCAGCCACCTCTCAAATTTTTTTTATAAAGATAAAAAAAAAATAAGGGCCTATCATTTAGACATAATTTTTAAATTAACATTATTTCATAACTATTCATAAAATTAAAATATGATGATATTAATGTTAAATTTGTTCAATTTTAGCCATATAAAAAGTGATAACTCCTAAACCCATATTCAACCAGTCTAGGATTTTGAATAAATATAAAGCAGTGTGATATCTATCTACAGAAATAAAATTTTGGGGAAAAAATACCTTTTTTTTTATGGCCATTTTCGGTTTTACACATCCGGTTTTCGATATTAATAAAATGTCCATCATATTTATTTTTATGTCTTTTTAAAGAACTTTTATTAAGCTACAAAATAAAATTTAAATTATTTTTTTAATTTAATTATTTCTTGAGATATAAGAAAATAAATGAGGTGCATTTTCCCAAAAATGTACCATTTTTCCGAGCTTTAAACGGCCATATCTTAGCGGGTAAACAGTGTTGGAATGTAAAATTTCATTTTTTTCTTAGTTATAGTATATACTACCAGTATACAATTTAAGAAAAATTGAAGGGGGTCGGGTTGAAAATCGACTTTATTTTGTTGATTTGATAAATAATTTACCGGCCCGGCCCGGCCAGGCCCGAATTTATTTAAATATAGAAATTAATTTTTACAATTACATAAAATAAAAGACATATGTCATATAGCGTTTAGTTTCAATAAATTAAATCAATTTAGATATATTAAATAAAGTTTCCAAGGTCCGACCCGACCCGGCCCGAACCCGATTATTTTAAATAGAATTAGGCCCGAGTCCGGCCCGGCCGGCCCTAACTTTGCAGATCTCTAATATATATATATATATTTGTTTTATAAAAAGAAGCTAACAGCAAAATCCACAAATTGGTCGAGGACCTGAAAAACAAGGACTTGGAAAATTACTCGAAGCTCGCCAGTTGTCAAGAGATTTGTAAGATTTTGCTTATGAGTCAAGAAGACTCCTTGGCCAACTTTCCCGTTCATTCTTGCGTGAAAGCCTTGGTACACATTTTGAAGGGCGAAAATCATAGCGATTTCGAATTGGTTAGTGATGTTTGCTGTGTCTTTTGTAGGAATAATTTTTTGAACCCCTTAGTGAATTGAAATTTCTTGAGAATGGAAAGAAGGGGGGCGGAGAGAAATATCTTTTGGTTTAACCATGTATTAAGAATGGAATACAATACAATATTCATTTAGTAAGATTTAAATATACCGTATTTTTTTTACCAGATGAACGAAGCTTGTAAAGCTCTAACTTACATGATGGAATCAATTCCCAGGTCAATCTCCTTAGTTTCCACTGAAGGAACAATCATATTCCTAAACAAAGTTTTAACTTTAATTGGAATCAAAATATATTTTTAATATATTTTTTTAAATTAACGGCATAAACTTAAACGCATTTTTTTAAATAACAATTTTCACAGGTGCGCGAAATCCAATGCATAGACGTAGCCGAGCAATCACTAACGGCTCTAAAAATGCTTTCCAGAAAACACGCCAAAACTATTTTGCTTAAGGTATTTTATGTTATCACAATGGAATGAGAAAAAGGAGGGAAAGTTAGAAAGGAAAAAGAAGAAAAGAAAAGAAAATAGAAAAAGAAAGAAAGGAAGTAAGAAAAAACAATATTTAATAAGAAATATTGTAAAAGATATAATAAATTTCGCTATAAAAAATTAATACAGGGGGGTATATCCTCTTGCCTGGCCTTCGTCGATTTCTACTCAGCTCCCGCTCGTCGCTCGGCATTTTCAGTAGCGGCATCGTGTTGCGAATACGTGACAGGGGCAGAATCATTTCGAGTGAACGTCATTGGATCCTTGCGACTCGTGGAGGGCGGTTTGACTACTGGACAAGTTTTTTTTAACCTTTTTTTTTGAATTGTTTATTTTATAAGATTGCAATATTTATATGTATTACTAAGTATTTCAAAAAAAGTACTCATTCATAATTATTTTACCTCCTTAACATTAAATTTACCTCATATGAATTGACGAGCACTTAATTCTATTCTCTCTCCTATATTATTTATTATCTCCCAAGCAAAAATCAATCTATTTTCAATTTTTTTAAAGATTATTGCGAAATTTAACCTTAATAATATATCAATATAGGCTATACGCATATTAATTAATCTCAATAAACCCACACGTTTTTAACCTTGTGGTTTTATTGAATATAATACCTCTCTCTATATTCTAATATACTCACAGATAAGATGTAGCCAGTTATAATTAAAATGCATGTATGACTTTATTTAAAATATATTCTATCTTTTCTAAATTGTTTTTAGAGAAACATAAGGTTTTGGTATAGGTGCCCTAAAATAGAGGGTTTGATTTAGGCTTGAAAAAATTACAGTGAACCAGAGTTAGGGCTAGATACAAAACGCTATACCTTAAAACATCAAAGTTAACTACAAAAATATTTTTTATTAGTTAACAGGATAGGTATATGAGACCTAATATTAAAAATTAAAAATTCGAATTTATAAATATTTATTTCAGGATAAGAGCGTTATTGAAAGTTGTTGCTTATGCTATTGCAGACTCATAGAGGTTTTCAGAGACCAACCCATCTTGCTAGAACAAATCGCTACTTTCGAATACATATCTAATATCGTTAATTTGGTTTGAGGATTAAAAATAAAATTATCCTTTAGATTTAATATACATTATTTATATGTTTTTTTTCATTCTAGCTTTCCAATAAAGGGGAAGTATAAAGAGATAAAATAAGGAATATTTAAGGAAGGAAGGGATACCCATTATATAAAGATATATTTATATTCATTTTGGAATAACGGGATTTCACGTATAATATCACTTCATTCCATTTAATTATTATTGCATAGCTCATGGCTTCTCCACCCATTGTCGATTCGAAAACCTCTTCAATGATCATCAAGTCTCTACACACGATGATAAAAGGTTGCAATAGCTTGGCCGTCATTCTCCTTAAAAACGGTTAGTTTCAGTAATAATTTTATTAATCTTTCATCTTTCTCTCTTAATTTAATATTATTTTGACTTAATTTACTTCCCCTTATCTTTATTATTAATGTTCTTTTATCTAACTGTAATTGTCTGGTTTCAAATGGTTTCCTAGTGATAGCCTTTTCTTTATCGAAACACTCAAATCAATAAATAAAAAAGAACGAAAAGAAGAAGGTTTTTTTTTGCTTTTCCTCATTAATCCTATTTTATCCTATACACCTTACTAATATTATATCGATAGATATAATAGACACTCTTAAATACCTTTTGATGGAAGAACAGCCGCCTACCACCGAATCCCCCACGAAATCTAAAATCAATGACGTCTTTTTCTCGTTGCAAAATGTCATTTCCCCTCTCAAAGATTTGGGATTTTGCCGGAAAAACCCGATGGAAATATCCGAGATAACGCTCTTGATATGGTAACGAAAATATTTATTTTTGCATAAAGCCACAAAATAATGATTTTATTATATACTAAAAATTAAGACTCACATATTTATAATGATAGAAATGAAAATTTAATTATTCATAATAATACAACAGAAAAGTATTATATTTATTTGTCAAAAGAGATTTTAACACTTATTCCAATTGTTCTTCTTTACGTTTGCGCTCCAAAAAAGTAGTTTTGTCCTTTTTATTATTTTAAACAATAATTTTATTTTATTAATGAAAAAGCGAACTATTTCCTTCTCTTAATTCCCATCATTTATCCTTATCGGATCGACTATTTTATCACGAACACAAAAACCCCGAAATATTTTCCAAATTTCACGAATCATCTGAGTACACGAAATTTACTTGCCGCGACACGAGCCCTAAAAATGGTGGACTTGCGCCGCAAATCCCAAAACTACAAAGTATTACTTCGGAAGATAGCAGAAAATGTTATTTGGACAGCGAAGAAGGACGGGAGATAGGAAAATACTTTGTGAGGTCCCTCATGCCATTGGTTTATAGGATATACGATAATTCGGTAAATTAATTACACCTGAACTAAAGTATTTATATGATGCTATTGCTATTTCGCAAATGTTTAATATTTTTTATAAACCATTATAAAAGGAAACTTTGTAGTAAATAAAAGTGTTCTTTAATTGATATCTTAAATAGATTTTCCGTTGGACACTTATTTTATTTTGCTTGTCATCTGCCAACGAGTTAATATTTATTCTAATTATTGATGGAAATTGTATGATCAAAATATACAAAACAACATCTTTTTAAAAATTGAAAAAAATTATTATTATTTCTATAGCCTGGTAACGTTGTTAAATACAATTGTCTCAAAGCTTTGCTCAGAATGCTCTATCATTCCAAGGACGATGGTTTAGTATTGGAAATTTTGAGCTCCTTAGATATTTCAAAGTTTTGATTTTGATTACACTATATTTATAATTATATTTACGTCTCAAAATTTAAAAGTATGACACTGTTAAGAATGCATATGGAAAATAATTCTTAATGAGCAGAAAGGAATTATAGGGAAAAGGAAAAATATTAGGAAGAAAAGGAATGAATGGGGGACAATCATGTTTTTTTTAAAATATATCTTTACCTCTATATATAGTTACATTGTCTCCATGTTAACCTCTAAAGACCTCAAAATTATTCTGAGCGCCTTACAAATGATCGAATTGCTTTTGTCGAAATTCCCGCAAATTTTTATCACGAGCTTTAAAAGAGAAGGTTTTATATAAAAATATTTCATTATATAGAGAAATCATTTATTGTCAGCTTATATTTATTAATTATTTCCAGAGAAGAATGTAAAGCTAAGAACATATCAGAGCCTTCGAATTTGTAACCTCTATCACTCTGAGGGTAGCAATATGTATGGTTCAATACGATTATTTAGAGTTCTCCCTCTACTTCCCTCCTAACTTTTAGAATGCAAATTTACCTACTACCTCCTCCTAATTATTTTTTTAAGACTTACTATTTTTATAGATTATTTTGCATTTTTATATACAATTATATATTTTTAAATTGATGAAAAATTTAAAATTTATGAAAATTAAAAGCATTATATCTTGAAGATATTAAGTACAAGTTTGAAGTTATAGCTTTTAAAAAACAAACGCAAGCCATGAGCTGCTAGGGTAGGTAGTTGCATATGATTTATAAAAGACACAATTCAAAAACAGCAGTTAGTAGTTTAATTACTGGAATATGTCAGTGTCTTCAAAATATTATGCATTCTAGATTTACCCTCTACCCCACAAATATTTTTTACTCTCTACCCTCTGGGGGGAAATAACCTCTACTCGTAATACCTAGAAAAGAACTGAGAAATACTGTAAGGTTATTGATAAAATTCCAGTGCTACAACAATATTTAAAGGTTTATTACTAGTATCTTAACGACATCTGCGATCCAATTGGTAATATTGAGATATTAATGGAATGAAAGTGTTTTATGCTTTAGACTTAATCTCTATGCAATTATCGGATCATTTTCAGAGGTATGACTTAAACATTTTTTTTATATTTTACTCCAAAGGGGTTATATGGAAAGTTATGTATAAGGTGTTGCAAAGCTTTCTTTTATAAGTAAAACTGGTAAAAATAAATATTAAATTTTGAACAATTTACAAGATGGCCCCAATAGTGCCATTTACAGATTTTTAAATTTATTTGGATTTGAAGATGATGTTACAAATTGGACTAACCATTTTTTATTTTACCTTACCGTTTAATGTATAATTTATCTAAATTTCGGAATTTATTAATTTTATATTAAAAATACATATAAACCAGCATCGATGCACAGCCGAAAGAAGGATTAGTAAAATAAAATAAGTCGAAGCTTGACTAAACCAGGAAACACATCTGTTTAAAATATTTAAAAGTTGGTACATACTTAAACATTTGCATGCTTACTAGGTATTGATTCCGAATAATTTATATGTTTTTAGATGAATATATAATTTAATTTATAGAATGTTTATTTTACAAACGCTAGAGCGCTCTGGTTGGTTCTTAGTCTAAGACTTAAGTCTGTTTGCTGATTGCTATTATTATATTTTTTATTTTGACGAGTTTTTTTTTATTATAGACCTCAAAGATATTTATAAAAAGGAAACGCTTAAAATTTTATAAATATTTTTTTAACAGGTTTCACGAATAATCATGTAAAACATCTCATTTTTAAATCGAAAACAAATTACGAATCCATATTTTTTGAAAAAATGATTTCCCTGATAATTAAAACTTTGTGTATTTATTTAGCATCGATCGAACTATGATTTATTTATTTATTTACCGATAAATTTAAATTCTAATTATATATCGAAAAATATTTAGGTGTCCAGCACAAAATAACGGAGCTGGTGCATACTCATAGAAAATCTATCCCTACCACCAACAAATCCATCCCAACTAATAACCAATTCGTCGATTCCGTCGATAATGCTTCGAAAGTGGTCGGTAAATACACCTCTAACTACGAACGCCGAAAAATAACAAACGCAAAATCGCTAAAAATTAACGATAAATCTATCGACGCACCGCCCGTCAATGATAAATCTCTAGACATCAGGAGGGAAGGTCTCTGGTCATATTTCGCCCCGAAAAATTCAGACCATTTGAACATCGAGATTGGCGGAAAGGGTCCTGAAAAGATTTCTCATTCAGGAAATTTTCGGGGGAACAATGCGATTGGGATGACAGACGTTTTGTTGCCCTTTAGGAAGGCGTTTCAGAAAAGACTGTTTCCACTTGGCAAGGATACTGAGACGAGGCATTATTCTGACAATAATAAGAAAGATAGTAATGCTAAAGATTTATGTCCCAAAGACCAAGTAGATGAATATTGTTTGTTGTTCTTGAAAGGGGGGGGAGGGTCAGTTAAATTATGGATTTTTTAGTAAATGTTTTTACGTATTGAATATATAAAAAAATACTTTTCTTCTATGAATTACTTTCAATTTGAATTCTTTTTTTAAACAACTTTTAAAGCTTATTCCTTATCAAAATGCCAATTGGCTTGGCAAGAATTCGGCCTACCCAAATGACTTGGCTTCTTTTCTCCTGTACAATGCGAATCAAAACTTTTTGAGCCGCACTAGTCGATTGGATTATCATGCCACTACTGCCACCGATATTTCAATGAATAGAATGCATCTTCAATCCCTTTTAAAAGATAAAGGTTTAATTTTTCTATTTCTACTTTTTTTTCCCCACATACGTGAATGGTAATTAATTGAATGCCTCTTTAAACTATATTTGATCTTAAAGCCCATTATTTTAGTATAAATGATTATCCGTTTAAAGTTATTTCACCCAATTCGACTGATACTTTTTAAATAGTATGAATGTTTGATCCATAAAAGCTCAAGATGATAGTTGCATTAATTATCTCTTGACGATGCTTTGAGATAACATGGTAAAAGTTTATTTATGGTGTATCCTTATCTTTATAATTTTATTGTATTAAAATGGATAGAAAAAAATATAACAAACTACATTTTTATCTTGCTATACAAACCGGTTCCCAGAAAATAGTACGTAGCCGGTTCGATCCTAAAATAAAGATAATTTTACTGAGCTAGATCTAGGAACTATAGGGCTCCTTTTTTTAAACAAAATATTTTTATTCATGAATGATTTTAAATAATCCACAAACAATCATACACAAAATTTATTTGTACATTCACTAAATTTTCCAGAAATGCCTTACTCATCCTCCAAGTTACTCTTCAGACCATTCACGCCTCTACCTTTACTCCCTTATCCTTCTTTACTTAGTTCGACTGCGCTGAGTAGAACGCAAAACTCAGAAAAGTATCTCAACATTCAACCCGGTTCCCTTTCAGCTATAAAGAAAAATAGGAACGACGTCAAATCGTTCAAAAATAATCGCAACGAGGGCGCAAAAATTGAAAGAATTAACGAAGTCAAGGAAGCGAATTTTTTGGACAAGTATTTCTCCAGAAGCCACAAGAAACATAAGGATGACAAAAGTGAAGATGAAAGTTTTTCGAACAAGCACCTCGTCAAGATCGACAATAAATCGACTAAAAATAGTCAAGCAGAATTTAACTATGACCCTCGAAACGCAGTTTTTTTTAAGAGCGTGAAAGCAAGGAGGGGGTCTAGTGACAGGGAAGCATATTTCGACAAGTACCTTCTCCAACACCACAACGATAAATGTGGTGACAACGAGAGGGGCAATGTTGTAAACGAATACCGTAGATTAAAGAATATGTATGAAGAACTCGGCCAGAAGGTATATATTCATATTCTACTAAACTTTATAAGATATTATTTTTGTATTTATCGAGCCACGCAAATTATTCTTGAATTAAACCTCCCTTATAATATAATAAACTAATACGAGTGGGAATGGGAGGGGGCATTAAAGGTTGACCTTTTTAACGGAACTACTATTTCAGTCTATAACGGAAAAATACTGTTCATATTTCCACCTTAAACGTCTTAAAAATAACATTTTGTTCTCGAAAATTTTGATTTTGTAGAAATTTTGTCAAAATATAACTTATCTAATAAGCCGTCTGATATATTACAAAAATTTAAAGTCTAGACTATTCGAATTTTGAATCGTCTCTCTTATGAATACCTTAGGAGTTTTTAAGCATTATTCCGAATATTCCATCCTCATTTGAAAATATTTTTCAAAAATACTAAAAATGTAGACTAAGGTTGTTGATTTAGAATTGAACGCGAATTTCGACTCATTAACGGAACTCAAAGAGCACGAATTTACGCTCAGACAGGATGACATCCGTCAAAAGGGTTTAAATAAACTTATATTCTATTTCGCAACACTGTTTTAAAATGATTATATTAAAAATTTTACGCTATTCCACATTTTGTCACCCATAATTATAAAATGGATTTATCCCATATCATTCATACACTCATTTGTTTCAAAATAACAAAAAAATTTTTATTTAAAAACAATATATGTCATTTATTACTCATTAGATAATATCCCGAAAATATTAATTCACTTTTATTTTCACCAATCCGATCCGATATTAACCATCTATTTTGATATTTAAATCATAAGATAGAGGGTCAATCGAATTTTCTATTAAAATTTATTATAATCAGAATATTCATAAATATCTTGCTCGTTTTTATCTAACAAGTATTTAATATATATATTAAATATATATTTACTCGCTTGGAGCCGCAAAGAGGCATAAGAAATTTAAATTATATTTTTTATTATTTCGTTTATTAATACACTAAGTGTGTTTTATAAATTTTTAAAGCTCTTTAGGGATTTTGCCTTTCTCCGGGAAATTATAAAAATATTTTTTCAAAAATCTTCTATTACCGTCATCCCATACGAAAAATAAAAATTAAATTTAAAAAGTTTTTATGTATTTTTTTTTTAAATGATGAAATTTTAATTATTTATAAATTGCTCTTCCGTATATAATAATCGGACTCAAAAGCTTACCTAATAAGGATGATGATTTTTTTTATTATGCTCATTCTAAGATCTTCTCTTCGACAACCCCGAAGAAAGCAAACTGAAAAACTTTAGCCTATGGGTCCTTCTCAAGGCTGACAGGCTCTTGAAAACTCATTTTGCCCCGTTGACTTTCCTCGATTCTTCCAACTCGAAAATAAATACCGACGATCATGATCTGAGCTCGAATAATAACGATACCTTGACCACCCTTTCTAACCTCTGTTCCAAACTTAGCGGATTGTTTTCTCAAATGAAAGAGGAATCGGAAGAAAGTCTGAAACCATTTTTATTTTTATTTATAATTTTAATAATGGATATTTTGTATCGTTTTATTATTGAATATAATATATATTTATTTAGAGGAAAGTAAATTGACCACAATCTGGCCACCCCATCGCTATAATATATGGGATTAGATAAGATCAACTTAGCTTGTCAATAAACTGTTCTCATTAACTCAACCTGGCTCTTTTTTACAAATTTTTATTTTTATTTTTGAAATTTAGAAACTATTTTACTTCCTTCAAGACTTTCGGGCATTTTAGAGATTTTGTTTGATATCAAGAACATTATAGTTAGCGCAGCTTCGCCCTTTGAAATGGTTCAAGCCCGATTTGCCTCCACCATTTTAGGACTTTTGATGCTTAACCATGATGATCCCGACTCACTAAACGGGATTAAAAATGAAAATTTCGAAACGAATTTCGGGAAAAATGGATTGGGAAATGCAGATTTCACTTTTAGACTAAAGATTTTGGCCCATATTTTCGGAAACGCTCCGGTTAACACTTATTTATTTTTACTTATAAAATAAACACATTTTTTTATCCATAAAACGGTTATAAAATTCCTCTTAGACTTTATAAATTTTTTATTACAACAAATAATAAATAAATGTCTAAATCTAATATTAGCATCCAAATTATATTCACACCGATGCTGATAAAATGCTTTTCCTAGATGTTTTTCCACTAATTTCTAATATACAACCTAATGCTGCCACAAACCCTGGGCTATCTCCCTTCGCTATTTTGGTCAACAAATTGCAATCTTGCTTGAACCAAACGGAACAAGTTTGTAATATTATGTACATTTCCAACTCAAATATTTTTTAAATTAAAACTACTTTAAAAAAAGCATAAACTGTTTATTATTGATTATTAATCATAAAAAAAATAAATAAAGTTTCCAGATGAATTAGTTTTTCCACCGTCTCAAACTAACAAGTATAAATCGCAATACAGCCGATCTCGGTTCTCTTCTTCCAAAAACTATTTCAGAAATGAAAAACCTATCATCAAACGGGAGGATGCATTTTCGGTAAACCCTAAAAAAATACAGTAAAATAAAAATACCATATAAAATAAAGGCAAATATAATAATAAAATAAATTGTCATTGATTGTCACGACCTAATTGGTGGTGAGCTATTTCGACATCTCACTCGACTCATTCTTGTTTATCAAAAAACTTGTTCGCATAATAGATCTTATTATTATTATTATTATTATATATCGCAGTAAACACATTAACAAAATGATATTTAACCGTTATTAATTTGAAAAAAAGAAAGGCCTTACAAGTTACTTTCAATTGTAGTAACTGTTATAATATTTTAATATTGCACTATAATTTATGATAACGAAAAGAAAACATGAAGGTTGAAAAAGAAAATTTTTATTTATAAAATTGATTAAATTTTTTTAAAAAAAATAAAGTGTTGACAGACATATTCGAATTTAAGATATTAACATTATGCATTTTTTAGTATATAGTCGATTGCTGTGTAATAATTACACTGTATGACAAATTTCGACTTGATTTTTTAGGAGAAAATAAAATAAACATGTTTTAAGACAGTTTTTTATGCATATTCTAAATCCGCTGTCAGTTTTTTTCTAGCACGTCAGGTTTTTAATTTATTTTAGGTTAAAGTGGCCAAAAAGGTCATTTTTAGCACTTTTTGAAGGTTTATAACTTCGGTTCTAATGATCACTACAACTAAAAAAAATATCTTAATTTTTGCAGCAAACCTTCCTTATTATTATTATACATTTTTTTAAATAAAATTCTTACTCAATTTTTAAACAACCTATATTTTTTAAATTTACCTTTATTTATAAAATCTTTTTTAATATAGCTTACATTTTATTTATTTATTGTGGCTTTCGTTCTCAAAAAAAATTAATGAAAGAAATTAAATATTTATGAAAAATTAAGCGCGAAAAAAAATAATTCTTCTTCTTTCTTCCTACTCATTATTTTGCATTATTTATTGCCCATACTACGGGTTCAAGGTACTCCATTGGAAAATCATATATTTTGATATAAATTGATTAAAAACAAATATTCTTAAATACATCTAAAAAAAGATAAATATTAATAAAAAATATGAAAAAACTACCAATTATTGCATTTTAAATGAATTTTGTTTCAAAAATGCTCAATTCAAAAAGAGTACAAATTAAAAAAGTAGATACAGATATCTGATTTTGGTATAAATTGATCATAAATGCATAAAATATTACTAAATACAACTAAAAAAGATAAATATTACCTTAATTTTGCTTTCAAAATGCTTTATGCAGAGAAAATTCAATAAAAGTTTACAAATTAAAAAGTTCGAAAATATCTGTACCTACTTTTTTAATTTATAGATTTTGGTTGAATTTTCATGGCATAGAGTACTTTTGAAACATAATTAGAATTAATATATAATCTTGAGCATATTTGAAGCAAAATTATATAAAATATCTTCTAAAGTTAATAATTTTGAGAGTAATTTAAATTGAAAACTTAAAACCCCCAAAACAAAATTCTTTACCATTTTTATCAAAAACCAATCGATTAAAAATTATAAAAATTAGTAAATTTATAAAGAAATATAAGTTTAACACTATCACCAATTTTCAGGGATTTTTATTTGATACTTTTTAAAATATATCCGTATAAAGACCTATATTTTACCATTTTTGAGAATTCGAAAAGTTGTCTTTATACGGTAATATTTTTAAAACTTGACGTGTAGGGAAAATTTGGAAAACGGATTCGAACTCAGCGTCAAATTCTGCACCAAAACTTGTTTTTATTTTCTTCTCCCTATTTTCTTGTCACACTGTTATTATTTTGCAATCGAATATTATTATTGTATAATTTGCATTCTTTGAACTCATATCGATATATTTAACTAATAAATACTTAATATATTATACAATAAATATCTTTTTCAATACTAGGTGTACTTGATCACCCAAACGGAACGTTCCAAGCATAAAATAGAACCGCTGACAACTTTCATTTCGATAAAGGCTTATTTGGCCAAATCTCATTATGATGAATTCGAATATGATATTTCCCCCAAAAATGAAGTAAATAATCAAGGGAATGATCCCGAAAATTCTAACGATTTTAATAGCCGTCCAAAATCACGTTACAATATTACCCCTCGAAACAATAGGAAGGAGGAAAAAAATGACAAAACCCATATGAAAATTTCATCGTCTAAAAACATAGAATACTCGAAAAATAAACCCTTAAACAAAACACATTATTCAAACGACGATATCGAAGCGAAATCACTTAAGAAGAAAGAAAATCTCTGGAAAAATAAGGACTTACACGAAATAGTTCAGAAATCTGAAGCTAGTAAGAATGATATGAAAAATAGATTGAGAAATAATGAAAAAACTCCTAAAACCTCAATTAAAGTGGACACCAACCGAAAACCTTATGATGGTAGCGTTCGAATAGAAAGTCTAAGTATCGAAGATGACATCAAGAATCAAAAGGAGGAATCTTCTAAAAAATCTGGGCCATATAATTTCCAAAATTTAGAAGATTTGCGATTAGAAATGGCCTTTTCCGTGGTTGATTTAGCGGATGGATTATCTGAGAGATGGGGTAATAAAATTGAAAAAGGTGAATGGAACGAGATAACGGAGAAGAAGCCAGAGAAGGAACGAAAGAAAAACGACGAAAAAAGCTCGAAATTGAGAAAAAGCGTTGAAAAAAGGGTAGAGAGGAAGAGTGAATGGATTGAAATACCTCACCAATGGCTCATGAAACATGAATCTGATAACAACATCGGCGTTATCGAGGGGGCCATTAATTTGATACCCAAAATTGATAAAGGGACTCTGGACAATAGGGAATTAGGTAAATTAACCTTTACCTTTAGTATTCGAATGATTTTTAAATATATCTTTTTTTTTCATCATTATTTTTTTTAAAAAGTGTTTTTACAATTATTGACACTGTTTAACGGTTCATTTCGGTTTAGAGGTTCGTTTCGAAACCCTGCTTTAAAATGATATTTACGGAAAGAAGCAAATTTGATCTATTTATTTTGTATATCTTATTTTAAAAAAATGGAATATTTGCAATTCCAAGCCATTTGGAATCAAATCCTTATTCAATACAATGATGTACGCAATGGAACGTCAATCGCGAAACATCAATCATTGCTTAACTCTAATTATGAGCTTTTGTTGCGTTACCAATTCGGCCCTAATTCAAAATACGGCGTAACAAAAATGACCGACTACAAGAATGGAAAAAATGTCGGAAAAAATTTAGAAAATCTTGATAGTGTGATAAAATGGCGAAAACCTCGGTTGACGAATAGTAAGGAGATTATGGAGCGACATTTTTATTCTGGTAATTGAAAATTAACTAAGAAGAGAGGAGGGGAGGAAAGAGATATAATAATTGAAAAACTCTTAAAAAAGGAAAATCTTAGATTTGAAACAATTACCATGTACAATACAATAATTAAGTAAAATTTTATTATATATACATGCACCATCAAAAGTTAAACATAGCAGAGCACTAGACCTATTGCCCTTACAAGACGCAAAACTTTTACTGAACAACACGAATTTATTGAATAAAGATCCATCTATCCCGGTGATACGATTTCTTAAAATCTTGCGAGAACTCAACAAATATTGGGGAAGCTTATATGAAGTAAATCTAAAAATTATTTTCCCTTTTTGCGCTTATTGAAAAAAAATTCATACAAAATTCTTGTTTTATATAAATTTCAAATACTTTCCCCCCCCCCCCCTCCATTCTTTAAATTATCCTTTTTAACACTTTAAATATATAGGCTCTGTATTATGAACCCTTTATGCCCGACGCGGAATTCGTCAATCGCAAGCTTACCGCTAAAATAGACAGAATACTTAGAGATCCACTCATTCTCTTGGACAGGAGGGTAGTTCCGGGATGGATCGGCGATATGGCCTATAACTGGTGAAAATATTTTTTTCTTTCTATCTTGCTTTGTTTCGTTTTTTAAGATATTTTTATCTACTTATTTTAAATAATATCTAACAAATAGAATATATTTTGTTTTGGTTTTGTTATTCTAGCCAAGTAATTTTTTTTACAATTCTAAACAAAAACTTTTTATTTGATTTTGTTTTGTTTCCCATAATAATTGAATATTATAATATTTATGATTTTAAGCCCCTTCTTGCTTTCCTTCCCAGCCCGCCTGGCTATTTTCAATTCCTTAACCTTTAACACTGAACGAGCTCTCTTAAGATTACAGGACAGGGAACCGGAGAGATTTAAAGAAATTTTGAAATACTTTTCAACTCATATCCCATCCTCTTCCTCTTCGTTCTACTCTTATTTAGATAACAGTTATAGGTATAAAAGCCAGCGGAACGGGAATATTGGGATGTACGAGAGTTCGGAAAGTTTGGTTGAGCATGCGTTATCACGTTCTGACACCAATTTTGTGCAGGGGGAAGGGGAAGAAGAAATATACGATGATGTTAGCACTGCCTTAATTCCTGGGGAAAATTCCAATAATAATGTAACAAACTTTTAAGTATATTTGATAAAGAATTAAAATATATGACGTAAATTACTTGATACGAATAATTTTATACATCCTATTTCCTTAATTTTTATAATTAAAATATAATTAATATTAGATGATGCTGATGGATGAAATGGATGGTATTGAACATCTAGTACGTCGGTTAGAAAATTCGATCGATTACATCAATACTGGTTTATTCGGTTTAGATACGGATGTTAGGAAAAAAAAGGTTTGTCAGTTCCCCTTTAATTTTCTTCGATTTAAAACTGGGATGTTGGCCATTCCAAATAAAGATGATTTTACAATTTTAAAACTTAGTGATTATTATGAAAATCCGATATGTGCTATCTTAAGTTAAAAAAAATTTTTTTCAAGTTCACATTGCACCGAACATCCAGCTTTCTATCCCAAGCCTTCAAAAACAATATTTTCTGGCCTGGATTAGCCCGATTATCGGTTTTTGAATTTTCTTTCGATTCTGAACCCGGCACAGGTTTGGGACCTACGCTAGAGTTTTATTCCCTCGTTAGTCAAGAGATAAGAGAACTCAAAAACGTGTGGAGATCTCAAGGTTTAAAATTTGAATTGTTCATTTATATAACAACAGAATAAGTTATATATTCATCCCGAATTGTGACATCAAAAGTGGTGAAGCTTACTTAAGATGAACATGCAATTTCAGTTATGGTTACTATAAGACTTTTTTAAGTTAAAAAAAAGAAGAAAGAAATGGAGTGGAGTGAATAAAAAAGAGGTAAAGGAAGATAATCATAGGATTTTGAGCAACTATCTAAGATCCTTAGGAACTCAATAATATTTATTTATTTATATTTTTTATCCATATTATATTTTCTTTCATTAATTTTTTAAGTGTCTTTTTATTTTACGATTTTGCACGCAAATTTGAAGGTTTTAAATTTTGAAATTAAAATTACTTAATAAATATAAATTTTATCTTATTATTTTTTAAAAATTTCTTTTCAGATCAATATAGTAATGCCCCTCTTTTTCCCAACCCCCATCCCTGCCTTACTGCTAACCATTACCATCTCTCAAAAACGTCAAATAAATTCGCCAAAATTCCTTCAAAAATTTCTGCAAAGAGTTTAAAAATCGAGAAAGAATACCAGGATATTGACGAAAAATTCGAGTTCTTGGGAAAATTTATGGCAAAAAGCCTGTTGGATTGCAAATTGGTTAAAATTAATATTTCATTTTTTAAAATCATTATTTTTTTCCCTGTTTCAGTCTATTCCCCTCCCCCTCCCTCTTTTTATTTCTTTTCTTTTTACATTTCTTTGTTATTTCTTCTATTCTTCCTTCATTAGCATCTTAATTTATCCGCCTCTTATTTTTAAAAATATAATCGATAGATCGACCTACCCTTATCTCCGCTCTTTTTTCGCAACCTATTTATTTTGAACGAGCAACCAGAAGTCGAAAAATTTTTTGACGGAAGTGCAAATAATGGGTCTTTGGGGAGTGAACAAGAATATTATGATTTAATCCTCTCAAAGGTTAATCTTATATATAAAACGTATTTATTTTTTTTAGAATTTTCATTCTTATAATATTTAAATATTTTATTATACACGCAACTCATAATATAACTATTGTACATTTTTTGCTCTCCTTTTCTTTCTGCCTACTCTTTCGTTTAGGACTATTAACCCGAGAGAGCTATTTTGATTATTTAATATATTTTTTTTAAAACTTGATACTTTATTTTAAAATAGGATATACGCACTATTGAATTAATATTAAAAAACAAATATGTATAAATCTATAAAGAAAAACATAAAAAAGAAGTAAGAGAAAAAAAAAATTTAAAAATAGGGTACATATCACCCTAGAGAAGAGTGAATACTTAAAAAATGGGACCGGCAGATTTCTAGGGAAACCTGCTGACGAAATTGAAAAAGAAATTGTAAAATATGACTTTTTTCTATTTATTCGTAAATCTGATGTTTAATTTATGTTAAAGAAATAAAATAAGAGAAAAAGAATATAGTTGAAATTAATTATAGGATATCCCATCAGAGGCAATACACTTAAATTGAAATAAAATATTTGATATTTTTAAATATTGAATTTAAGTAAAATTTTCATACTGGAGAAGTCATATTAACAATGAAGGGTTGTTTTTTTTACCTTCATGAAAATTCCGATTAAAGGAAGCGACAAAAACGGCTAAACAGTGTTTAGAAATATGACGAGCCAGGACCTTAATGCTTTTTGAAAATATAATAGTACTATATTTGTTATGGATTCTCATTACTTTTGCTAATAGAGTTATCTTGGATATGGGATATTTACTGTTTTATATATTATTTTATGTGTTTTCTGTTTTTTTTGAGAAATACTTCTGTTGTAGTGAAAAAAATTAATACCTCTTGATTTTTTTAAAAATTATTGGTTGCAACCTATGGTCAAATTTTATCCTCACTCCTCTTCATATTTTTTTTGCTTTAACGACCTTTTCTATTCTATCCGAAATGTTCATATTTTAAAAGTAAAACATTGTATTATAATAAATACTTAGGATTACCCCAACGAATTCCCCACCCCTTACCCTGAAGGCGCGTATATAGATTTCAATTTCAAAAATATCGACTTTTATTACCCGTCCGAATTAAATATAATGGATACCGGCCTAGCTAAATCATTCGCCCACATCAAAACAACTGTACGTACTGCAAATGCCGATCCGGAAACTTCGAAAAATTTGGACCTCGATTTCACTTTACCCGGATTCTCTTACGATTTGATAAAGCAGGGCCACGAGATTGTCTTGGATGAATTCAACGTCAAGGCTTATTTGAGGGTAATTTTACGAAATATAAGGGATTACTGGAAAGAGCGAAAAGGATTTTCTATTAATTTATACTTTAAATCTCATTGATTATTATATTTTTTTATCATTCAGTTATTACTGCATCATGGGATGTTTTACAGCGTTTTACCTCAAGCTAAAAGTTTCCTGACTGGTTTCAACTCCATAATGGACTTCTCTTCCCTTTCCTGCTTTTATCCCGAAGAAGTAATGTACCATCCCATTTACACATTATTAATTTTATTTGCATTTAATTTGGACGCTATTAAAAATATAATGAGTGTCTTTAAAATGAGGAGTCAGAGACAATAGTAATTTAAAAAGGTTCTAAAAAAAGATTTTTTAAAAATAAAAATTTTTTAAAATATTTTCAACCAAGGATTAATCCTATCATGATCTAGAGAGAAAAAAATATGTTGATTTATATTTTTTAGGTTTTTATTTAAAAAGAATGCCAGATTTTTTAAAATATCTCTTAATAATGATAAATCAAATTATAAGACATAAAAAAATATATTTGTATAATTTTTAATAGCTAAATTCGCTTTTCTGCGGAGACGATTACGATAACACCGTTTCGACGTCCACTTTTAAGCTTAGCGAACTACCCAACATATATTGGAGTTATGAATCCATTTTAAACAGCATTAAGCCCGACCATGGCTACACACCAGAGCACAGGATAATTAAGGAATTGGCTCAAATATTGTCCGAGTTTAATGGTCATCATAGAAGATGCTTCCTGAGATTTTTGACCGGTTGTCCAAGACTTCCTATTGGAGGTTAGATATAATATATTGAATGAATATCCACATTAGTGTAAGAAAGACTATGCTTCTTTTTTAATGAGTAAGTAAATAAGTAAATAAAGATTTTAAGAGCACAACCCAAAATTAAAAATGATTTATTTATTACTTTAAAAAAAAGGTTTCAAAAATTTGTGCCCACCGTTAACAGTCGTTCGAAAAACCACGGAAAATTTGAAGAACGACTCTTTCCACAGTAATAGCAATAGCCTCAATATTCCTCGCTCTAAAGTTCCCAGCCCTGTCTCTCTCAAAAGCAATAATGTCATTAACCCTCAACCTAGCGACGTGGAAGAAAAGAAATCCGATAGCTACCTTCCCTCGGTGATGACTTGCGTCAATTACCTAAAAATGCCGGAATATTCTAACCGGGCTATTATGGAGGAAAGGCTCAAATTCGCTATTACCGAGGGATCTCTTTGTTTTCATTTGTCGTGAAAAATTTACTTTTGAACATACAGGTACTGAAACTTCAGATCATAGTCTTATTTTAACTTAATAAAAATACATTATCCTTATTCAAGGATATTAATTAAGTTAAAAATTAGGAAGGGCGGAGGAAGGGGGGGGAATACGAATGAACGAAAAATTTATATCTTCTTCAAATTACAATGATCTATTAATATCACTATCCAAGTACTTCTACCATGGGTGGGGTGAGGTATGACGCAAGATCGTCATTGAGATTGAAGAGAGAAGGAGTTCTGAAAATGCTATCGTCATTAGAATGAAATAGGATCGGATAGGAGTAAATGAATGTAAAGAGGGTTGAGGGTATGCTAATTTTTATTTAAGTTTCCTTTCTTTGGGCGTAGAAGTACCTTTCACTATCAATTATTAGACAATATCTTTACATATATTATTGATAAAAATTTTTAAGTATATTCCAATTAGTTCACATATAAGCTATTTTGCTCAAATAAAAGCCATTTCTTTTTTTTTGAAATATTTAGTTCATAAAACAATATCCGATACGAATCAAATAGCCACAAAGCTCAAGAACTAGGATATTCGAAATTTACATTTAAAGAATTAAACTATTTCTCGTCAATTCACCCTTTTTTCTCGCTTAAAATTAATGTTATTTTTTAGAAATGTTTGATAATTAATATATTTATAATAATTGATTTATATTATATAATAAACTAATTAAAAGTTTTTTTGGATACATTTTTAAATTATATTTATTACTTATAAAATAATTTGACACAAATCTACATTAAATCGCCAATATATTTTTAAAAATTTATGTTTGTCAGAAATTTTTATTTTTTAAAAAAAAATCATTTGGAAAATGAAAATAGGGTTGTCAATTGAGAAATCCCGAAGAAATAAGATTGAAATTAAAAGTTGTATAATAAAGAAAATAAAGTATTGAATTTATTCTTTATTTAGATGGCAATTGAAGTAACTCCTATATAGGCTTATTAATGTGTTTTATTTAAGAACATAGATTTTTGATCAAATTTTACCAAAAAATGCCAAAATCTTTTATAGTAAATATTTTGTAATTTTCATGCATAGATGAAAAATTATTTTTGTTAAAAAAAATTTTCAACTTATTTTATTAATATATTATACGATAATAGAATAAAAAAAGAAAAAAACAAATATAGCACGGTGAAGTTTATTATTTTAAAAGAAAAGTAAAAATTAGACATCTTTGAACTTAAATTGTTTATAAGCTATATTTTTTATTTGAATAATAATAATTATGACTCATCAGTTGGTAAGCTGCATAATTATTACACCTAAAAAATTACCAAAACAAAAATACAAAATTTTTTACCACAATTATATAAATAATGATTTTTTAAAATAAATAATTCATAAAATATTATGTTTGGTATTGAGGTTATTTTAGATAAAATAATTTTAATTCACTCCTAGTCTTAGCACCTCCATCAAAATACATGTCAATATTTTGTATTACGTGAAGCAACATTTTGACTATGGATAAAGAGGTAAGGTGGCATTTATCTGCTATTATGCTTGTTAATTCCATCGAAAAAGAAGGTGGAGTGCTAAACATGTCAAAAATAGGATTTGTTTTTGTATTTGTCTTATGGTGACATCATTAGATTGCATCTTTGTAAATATAAATCGATGTAATAAGATATGACAAATATGGCACATATATTGTTTCGAAATCAGAAGCAATAGCTTTGATAATAAGATATGAAAATAGTGAGATGCCTAAGCCCATTGAACTACGACACCTTTAAAAACTCCTAGAACCCTTCCCCAATCTGTTTTCCTAACTAAATAAACTGGAAATTTTTATATATTTTATTAACTAGGATTATTGATAACTAAAGATGACTGTAAATTTAGATGATATATATATATATATGAAACACATGTCTTATAGTAATACACACTGGCCCCTACACTCTGAGGGATGGAAACAGAATACCCACCTGAAAAGTACCCTCCCCCCTCTAAAAATAGTTAATTATTTTTTTGACACCCATATATTTTAAAAATAATTTTTATTGCAACAATCATATATAATATATACAAAATGTAAAAAAATATTATTTTTAAATAAATTGGGGGAAGAGAAAGCGAAAGAATTTATAATTTCATAATATTTAATTGTTTAAATAAAAATTTTTCCATTGATAAAATTAGATTTCTCTCCTTCATAAAATCTTGTGCCTTTCAAAAAACATCCAAATATTTATTGTTATCTATTAGGATTAAAAAAATTTAAAGACAATAATTTAAATTATATTTCTCAAATTAATCAGGCAATCTTTTGGTAATGGAATTTGATTTATTGCAAACCCTATATCCTTCGAAATGGTTTGAAATTTTGTACAAGCCAAATTTGTCATCAACAAAATTTTATCCAAAACACAGTGATAAAATAAAATCAAATTTTTCTATTCTAAAGGCTATATAAATAGCCATAGTGGAAGTGGCAGGATCTTCAGAATCATTTAAATTTGTTAAAGCTGCCATCAAGGCATCATAAAGTGAAAATATTTAAAATAGATTTATATGACGATAACCAGCTTCTATCTAAACAAATAAGAAAATATTATCGAGTGGTATTTTGATGCGTAGAAATCGTTGAAACTTTGTCAGTGCATTACTCTGACATGCTTTGAGCACCTCATATCTTTTAACACCATTAAAATATATATAAATCTGGTCTAATATTCCTAAAACATTTCGCAATTCTTTTATTGATTTACATAATTGAACAATGATTAAATTTAATCGATGACAATAGCACCAAATAAAAGCTGCCTTTGCCTCCGCTCTAATCAAAGCCTACACTCCATTGATTCTTCCACTCATGTTTGAGAAGCCATCATAACTTTGCCCAACTAGGAATTCAAGAGGTAAATTCATGGAGCCAAGTTTGAATATTATATTATTTTTAATATCGAGACCAGTTGTATTTCCCATACAATATATGTCTATCAGAATTTCAATGGACTTAGGCATCTCACTATTTTCATATCTTACTATCAAAGCTATTGCTGCTGATTTCAAAACATCCTATGTGCCATCAACTATGATTGAAAAGTACATGTTAAATTCAATCTCATTTTGAATTTTTTTTATAACCATATCATGGTTTCAATGAGAATTGTGTTATTATAAGATAATAGATTTGAATATAATTTCGTATCCCTTATTTATTTTTTTCTCCCAGTACAGGTTCAGAATCTGCAATGAGTTTAATAAGGCCCATCATATTACCTTATTGTTGCCTGTTCCCCCAGAAGGCTTGGTTACGAGATATTAAAATACCTAGACATCTTATTATTATTTTTATGATAGAACGGTTATTATCCACACATTCTTTCTGGGGTATTATAAATTGTAATATAGATTTTTGTTGTGTGAAAGCCTTCCATAATCGGCCATCATATGTGCCTGTGAAGATTCATGCACAATAATATCAAATAAATTTCATGATCATTATCAGAGTCAGATACTATATTTTCTTCTAACACATTTTCATTATTATTATTACACTTTTGAAAAATAATTATATTAATAGAATTATTTATTATATACGCCAATTTTTTTCATGTCGTGTCTAATCATCAATTTTTCTTATAATAAGCAGCTCTTGTTAGTAACAAAACGTGCGTCATCTACCATGCGAGTACAGAAATTCTTCCCCACCAGCTTGTACTAAGCTGCTGCCCGTATCTTCCACTATTTTGGGGATTTTAGGTATATAGTTAGACAAGAATTAAAGATTTTTATTTAAGTAATAAAATAATGATATTTATCACAATTTATCAGTATATATTTCGGTAAAAGTTAATTATATATAAAAAAAACATTTGAATATTATTTCAACATGAAAAAAATTTATAATTGAATCCAATTTAGTATATATTATTATTTAACAAAAAGAAAATTAATATATAAATTCTCCATTATGTTATAGCCGCAAAACAATATAAATATAAATATATAATAATACTACATAAATAATGATATTTTATACGTTTGAGATTATACATGTAAAGTGTAAAATGATAGGAAAGATCGTAGCAGGATGACAACCTCATTAAAAAAAGCAGACGCCAATAAATTTTTTTTAGCTGTGAATCACCTGTTATAAAAATTGGATTTCTAGCCCGGCATCGTTAATATATACTTTTTTTAAAAGATTTCAGCAGAAAGCTGCATCATTCCAATGACGATGGTTTAATATTGGAAATTGTGAGCTCCTTAGATATTTCAAAATTTTAATTTTGATTATACTATATTTATATATGTATATTTATCAAAATTTGAAATTAATAAATTTTTAAAAATATATATGAAAAAAAAAAGCTTAATGAGCAGAAAGGAATCTAATGGGAAAAATAAATTTATTAGGAAGTAAAGAAATGAATGGAAAAAAAAATAATTCCTTTTAGTTTTACAAGCATATTTTTTTAAAAAGTATTTTTCCCGACATATATAGTTGCATTGACTTTATGTTAACCTCTAAATGCCTCAAAATATTTCTGAGAGCCCTACGAATGATTGAATTGCTTTTGTTAGAATTCCCGCAAATTTTTATCACGAGCTTTAAAGAATATTTTATATATATAGAAAAATTATTTATTGCCAGCTTATATTTATTAATTATATCCAGATACTAGAACCTTCGAGCCATTGACCTCTATCACGGGGAGGAGTATCAATATGTATAAATTAATAGTATCATTACTAATTAGCTCCTGTACCCCCCCCCCCCTCCATTTTTGGATTACAAATTTACGTACTACCTTCTTCTCCGCCCTTATTATTGAAAAAAAAAATATTTTGCATTTTTGCAAAAACTATATATTATTTTAAATGGTTAAAAATTTAAAATATCTGTGCTATGGTACAACAATGCCTGAAAGAAATATAAGTAATATCCAACGATTTCTGCCAATTAATTAGTACAACATGGTAATATTTAGTAAGATATGCTATGAAATAGAAGTGTTTTATTTTTATAGTGAAGTAGTCTCTAAGCTAGTAGCAGTGTGTTTTTAGTGATATGGCTCAGATATATATTTTTTTATTATACTCCATAGAAGTTACATAAATAGACATGTATAAAATAATGATATTGGAAAGCTTTATTCCTTTAATAAATAAAACTAATGAACATATATTTATATAATTTACCCATTTGTAAATATATTATACCTAGATCTGTGCGCCTACGAAACTTTCGGCGGCCGGCGCAATTTTCAAAAATCTAATCGACGGCCGGCGGCGCCCCGATTTTTAGCCGCCGTCAACAGAATCGGCGCAAATCGGCGCAATTATAAATTTTTATAACATAAATTTTTTTAATTGCTTAATAATTTATTTAAAAAAAACAAATAACACTACTCTACAGATATCTCGGCATACTTTTTAATATTTATTTAATAGAAAACTCATAATAAATCCAAAATCGATTTCGTAATTTTATAATTATAATGTATAATAATTATATTAATTAGATTTTCGGAACATAATGATGATCTCCTTGAATTAAACTTCAATCCAGCGGTAGAGAAAACTTTTTCATTAGGTGTGCTGATCGCCGGAATGCAAAGAATTTTTTTGGCGAGCTTGGAAAGATTGGAAAGTCCACTCTTCTTTTCTCTCCAAAATTTTAGAACGTCCACATCTTGTGAATATCGTTTTCCAAGAAAACTGTGGCATTCTTGTTCTAAGTCCATAACCTATAAATTTGATACCTTCAAAAAATCTTTCATTCCTATATTATCAATTGATT